TAAATTGAGTGAAAGCTAAGTGAATATTGGCTGTATTATTATTCTTTATGCTTTACACGTGCTTACAAATATTTTTTATATAGTGATTATCCATAAGGCAGTATTTAAGTGCTTGTAAAATAAGCAAACTATATGTGTGTATCCAATCCATTTCTGTGAATCGCTTTTTAATACAAGTAAAATATCATAGAAATCTGCGTAGAAAAAATCTGACAGTCTCCTTAATTTTCCTAGGGAAAGTGGGTAGTAAAGGTTTATTGGTACATTTAAAGATAGAATGTGTATGAGTGTGTGTATATACATTATATATACACTAACACACATCAGAGGAATTGAAACTTTTTCTATCCCAAATTCCCCCCAAAAGTAATCATCATTTTTCCTTGATCACATAAAAGATATGGATTCTCCTACTTGAAGCCACATAAATAAATTATAAAGCAATTTGCTAAGGAGATCAGGGTCCAGCATTGTGGCACAACAGGCTGGCACCCCATGTGAGCATCAATTCAAGGCCAGGGTACTTCATTTCTGATCTAGCACCCTAATGCACCTGGGAAAGCAGTAGAAATCGGATCAAATACTTGTGACTCTGTACTCATGTGGGAGACCTGAAAGAAGCTCCTAGAAACGGATTTGTCTTAGCACAACATTGACCTTTCGAGTTACTTGGGAAGTGAATGAACAAATGGACGTTCTAATTCTGCCTTTCAAAAAAAAAAATGAAATTTTTTAACATTTATTTATTTTTATTGGAATGATAGATTTTTTAAGATTTATTTTATTTTTACTGCAAAGTCAGATACATATAGAGAAGAGGAGAGAGAGGAAGATCTTCCATCCAATGATTCACTCCCCAAGTGACCACAATGGCTGGTGCTACACCAATCCTAAGCCAGGAGCTCTTCTGGGTCTCCAGCACAGGTGCAGGATCCCAAGGTTTTGAGTCGTCCTTGACTGCTTTCCCAGGCCACAAGCAGGGAGCTGGATGGGAAGTGGAGCTCCCGGGATTAGAACCAGCACCCATATGGGATCCTGGTGCGTTCAAGGTGAGGACTTTAGTTGCTAGGCCATCGTGCCAGGCCCACAAAGTTGGATTTAAGGGAGAAAGAGATGCAGAAAGAAAGATCTTGCGGGGCCCGGCGCGGTGGCGCAAGTGGTTAAAGGTCCTCGCCTTGCACGCCCCGGGATCCCATATGGGCGCCGGTTCTAATCCCGGCAGCCCCGCTTCCCTTCCAGCTCCCTGCTTGTGGCCTGGGAAAGCAGCCGAGGACGAAAGCAGTCGAGGACGGCCCAAAGCTTTGGGAACCTGCACCCGCATGGGAGACCCGCAAGAGGCTCCTGGCTTCGGATCGGCATAGTATCGACCCGTTGCGCTCACTTGGGGAGTGAATCATCGGACGGAAGATCTTCCTCTCTGTCTCTCTTCTCTGTATATCTGCCTTTCCAATAAAAAAATAATAATAAAAATAAATCTTTAAAAAAAAAAAAAAGAAAGATCTTGCGTTCTGCTGGCTCACTCCCCAAGTGGCTGCAAAGGCTAAGGCTGAGTCAATCTGAAGCTAAGAGCCAAGAGCTTCCTCTGGGCCTCCCACGTGGGTACAGGGTCCCAAGGCTTTGGACTGCCCTCGACTGCTTTGCCAGGCCACAAGCAGAGAACTGAATGGGAACTGGAGTAGCCGGGATAAAAACTGGTACCAATATGGGATCCCAGCACGTTACAAGGCAAGGATTTTAGCCACTGAGCCATCATGCCAGGCACACCTCCCCCCAATGAATCTTAATAAAAAGAAATGTTTACACTGCAATTATATTTATGTATATAGAGGCTTCACATTTACATGTGTAGTACCAGATTTACCTGTATCCACAGCAGTTTGCCTTACGACAGCTATCATGCATTTTAACATTCCTTTCTATACTATATAACGGAGCTTCATAAACTTCATGAAAATTATGTGTAGCAAAAAACTCACACATGGATTTTATTTTTTCTGCACCATGATGGGATTCTTTTGGATTTCAGCTTTCACACACTGCTTAAAGTACCCTTTCTCATACACTGGTGAAAAATCTGGAGGCTGAGCTCCTACACGGAGACTCAGGTCTTGCATTCCTTAGCTATATATTCTTGGGTAAACTTATTAACCTCTCATTCAGTTTCTCACTGGTATAACAGAAATATGAACACATACTCCTGAGGGTTCTGGATCTGATTAAAGCTTGCCTAATGGGGGCCAGTGCCAATGCAGCAGCAGACTAAGCCTTCATCTGTGGTACCAGTATACTGTAACGGTTTCAGCTCATGTCCCAGTTGTTCCACTTCCAATGCGGCTCCCTGCTTACAGCTGGGAAAGCGCTGGACTTGGGGCTCAAGGCCCTGCAACCACATGGGAGACCTGGATAAAGCTCTTGACTCCTGGCTTCAGCTCAGCTCACCTTAGGCTGTGACAGCCATTTGGGAAGACCTCTTTCTGTCTCTCCTTCTCTCTGTCTCTCCTTTCTGTTACTCTGCATTTCAGCTAAGCCATGATGGCTTGTCTGACTAATCCTCCCCTTGCAAGTGCCAGCATCCCAAATGGGCATTGGTTCACGTCTCAGCTGCCCTGCTTCCCATCCAGCTCCCTCTTCAGAAACTCCAGCCTCTTGGCTTCGGATTGACTCAGTTCTAGCTGTTACAACCATAGGGGAAATGAACCAGTAAAGGATCTTTCTGTCTCTCCTTTTCCCTGTAAATCTGTCTTTCCAATAAAAATAAATAAAATCTCTTAAAATACATAATAAAAAGTAAAAGATTTTTAAAAATCTGTTGAGAGGTCTAGCTCTTTAAAAAAAAATAAAACAATTGAAAAGATGTATAACAATACTGGAAGTAAATAGGTGCTATTCATTCCTGTGGGCGCTTAGAACTACTACTGCTTGTGGTCCTGTGCCATCTGTCTGAACATCCTGAGAGTGTTACCAGCTATCAGAATTACTGACTATGAAGTAGGAAGCCTGAGAATTGCAAGTTTAAAGCCCTGCAACTCCAAGGAGAAGGGGTGATTAATAAACTGCCATAGCTGCTCTCTCCAGAACAGTCTGAGGCTTGGTTCCCAAAAGTGCAACTATCAATGTCTTCCCTTACACAAGGGGGCAGTGATAACAAGAAGAGAATGGGGCCAGTGCAACACCTCTTCCTACAGACAGCAGGGGGTGGCAGTACACATGGCTTACAGTGGGAACAAGACAGGAAGACCCGGGAGAGCTGCTCTTTATTCTCCTTCGGCCCTTCCTCTACCCCAACGGAGGCTCAAGGTGAGCGAGGCAGGGGCAGACAAACACCTCAAACCCCAAATAGTCACCAGGGGAAATCCAGCTTCATCTGTACAGCCAAGTGAGACCCCAATGACTGAATCCAACTGGGTCCAAGGGGAAGCCAATCAGTATAGATTTTTAGATTGGCTAGCAAATTACTATAATAAGAATATTCAGAAAAGTAAATCAAATTCCCCATAATAATACAAAACACTGCGCAGTGTTGATGATAATCGTCATTAATTAGACACATTCAAATGTACACATGCAGATATTTCTGCTTTTGTTTCACAACACACACTCATTGTATGTATACATATAAGTGATATTATAAATAGCTCACCGAGCTGTCTTTTGTGACTTCAGACATTCCAGCTATGTTCTGGCAATCCTCTGAAGACACAGATGCTGCTCTTAAATGGAAGTTACCGTGTTTTGCAGCTTGTGGATAAAGACATGGCTATGTACACATCTACATCTACGGGCATAGGGGGAGAAAGGGAATATTGAACGTTGCATTTTTGTGCTCCCTTTCCTGGCATGGTCTACCTGGGAAACGCTGCAAGAGGCACTCCACTGGCAGTGTCCATGTTGTTGTTCTTTATGTCAACCTGCTGTTTCCCGGTGATTTTCCTATTTCACCAACCTAACAGCAAGAACACACAAGAATATTTCCCTACTGCCATTCTCCATAATTAACCATTGCACTAGCTTTTGGCACCAACCTCCCAAAATGCCTGAAAATGTATCCCTTTTGTTCACCATATTGTTTTGTTTTTCTCATTCCAGATATTTTCACCTATGGAAAACCAAGCAAGGAGTGCATATGACACATACTTCCCTTTGCCTAATGAACTCACAATTACAATCAAAGGGTTTTGTTTGTCTTTTTTTTTTTCTTTCATTTTTCCTGGAGAGGAGCAAAAAAAGACACCCATCAACATCAAATCTTCTTCCCAATGTTAATGATCATTGTTCACGCCTAGTGAAAACCATTTTAAACATTCCACACCTGCAACAGAAGACAGTTGCTCTGGGTGCTCACGGCCAAGCCTGCAATTATTTCAGTCCGATTTTTTCTTTCCCCTCTTACAACCAGCTGCAATTTTTTTTTTCTTTCACGTGGATACTTTATCTCAAAAAGGGGGGGTGGGGAATGACAGCTCCTCTCGATTTCCCCGTAGTAAAATATCTAGCCATGAGCCTTATTAATCTTTTATTATACTACACCTCCCTTCCCAAAGGAATTCCTCACCTCACTAATAACACCTCCACCGAGCATTTCAACGACACCCAGGCCAGCCCATCCTGTGCCTCACCTGGCACATCTCACAACTACTTTGATGCTGCATTCTGGGGCCACATTTTGCAACTCGTTCTGCACCACCTTCCCAGCCACGTTCAGCAATGTGCCTCGCATCCCATCCTCGGTCCCCGTCATCCACACGCTCTCTAGGTACCAAATTCCATGACAGCTTCGGGAACAGCCCAGTGGTCGATGGCGGACCCATCTGGAGTCACCCCCTCGTGCCACCGTGGGAGCCAGCCTTCTCCACGCCTCGGACCCGGGAGGGGGACACTCCGCTGCCCGGTTCGCCGTCTCCCCGCTCGCCCCCCGCCCCTCTCCCCAAGCCGAGGCTTTGCAGGCGGACGCCCCTGTCAGGGAAGCGACCTTTCCTTTCCCGGCTCCCTCGGGCTCTTACCTGCTGCTCTGAGGGAGGGATCGCTGCACGCCAGGGTCAAGCCCCAGTCCCCGGGGTCTCCGGTGAGGAGGATCGCGCCGTCCGCCGGCGATTCCCAGAGCCCGTCGCTGCACCCCCGACGCCCCGTTGGTGGGTCTGCGCCCGGGTCCAGCGCGGCGGGCCTCGCGGCCGGCGAGCACAGCCCGCGGCGGAGCTCCTGTCAGCGGCGGCGCGGGGGCCACCTTCTCGCCCCTCAGCACGGCGGCGGGCGCCTCGCTCCGCCTCGCGCGCGGCACAGCCGGGAGGTGAGCGCGAGGGGGATGGGATCGGGGGCGGGGCCGCCCGGAGGAGGCGCGGAGGGCGCGGCGGCGGCGGCGGGAGGGAGGGAGGGAGGCGCCGGCAGCCCGCGGCCCCGCGCTCGCGGCGCTCTCGGCTGCTCCCGCTGGGCGGGCGGCTCGCGGGAGGCTGCTGATGCCAGCGGGCCCTGCCACCCGCGCTCGGCCAGCCGCCGCCGCCGCCGCCGCCGCGCCGGGGGCGTCGCCCCCTCGGAGGCCGCCCGCCGCCCCGCCCCCTCCGGCCCGGGGTGGGGAGGAGCGCGAGCGCGGAGGGAGAGCGCGTGCGTGGGGGCGCGTGCGTGGTGGGGCGCGCGCCCCCGCCCGCCCCTCCCCCTCCCCAGGAGCCGCTGAGGGAGAGAGGGGAGGCGAGGGCGGGAGAAGGCCGGCGCGCTCTAGTGGCTGGGCATTTGCCGTTTTCCCGGGGCGGAGAAGGGCGGGGTGGCTTTGGTCCGAAAGGTGGGCTGCGCTTGAAGGGGGGACAAGGGGAAGAAGCGCAGGGGCTGACAAGGCCCTACACCGTGGGGCCCCGCCCCCAAGGGTGATGTCACTCTCGAGGTGGCTGCCGCTGTCACGTGCGCCCACTTGAGGGCTCGACCTGCTGCTTTGATGATCAGAAAACCCCGTCCGTCAACCTACTGGGTCGCCTAAGGTGCCCACCCGCGCCCCCACCCCGGGTCCCCTTAGGCACACGTCCCTCTCCGAGGCGCCGCAGCCTACAAGTGTCCGGGCATTCCTCCTCTGGTTCTCAGCGAGCCGTGGTCGACTGCCTCACAAAGCCACAGTTGGTTGTGGTGGGGGTCCGAGTGAGGAGCCACAACCAAACAAAACCCAACATCCACCAGGCGGGCAGGGATGGGCACGGAGAGAGAAGGGGGAGGCTGTCTGCTGGGGTGGGGGTGGGCGGTCATTGGGGAGGGTGGGCGGCCACAGCGGGGAGCCACTGCCTGCCACTGCCCCGCTGGCTCCGAAGGGATGTGGGTTAGTCAGCCAGCGGGACAGCCACTGTTACAGCTTCCTGAAGGACAGGGGGTCAGACAGCCCCCTCCTTCTTCCTCCCAGATCTTCCCCTCTGCCCGTCTCCCTCCTGTAAAACGGCGAGTCAACTGTGGAAGGCGCGAGGGACATAAATTTTTCCAAGTGCTGCAAGATGATGCAAAGCAATCAGTATTACATCCTCTGCCGAGCTGGCCTTCCTTGCATAAACCGAAATGACCTTTTGTGATCATCCGCTCCCTAATGAGATGCTGTGATTGGAAATAGATACACAGAATGACATCAAACAGGGAAGCTGTGTCCGCAGCTCCTGGGCTAGAGGAATCTGTCTGATAAGAGCCCAGCTGAATCTACCCCATCCGTGGCGCGATCTTCCATTACACGAAAGATTAGTATTAATTAGAGAGCAATACAAGAAACTGGAAATGAAACCATACCTAACAGCTGTCCTTGTAAGAAATACTTGAAAAGTCAGAGCCACATTGACTCTGGAGATGACAGCTAAAATAACAGGGCGATGGGCTGATAAGCAGGATCTTCTGGTGATAGCTCCCCCCCCCCCAAAAAAATTGTATGAACTGAAACCTATGTAACCTATGGTGATAGAGACAGGCAGGACAGCGATTATGTAAGGGGGCAGTTGGAGGAGAAGCACAGAGGCTTCAGATTGCTGCAAATGTTCAGCATCGTGATCCGGTTCATGGTTACAGGCATGTAGGAATGTGCCTGCCTTTGCAAAACTTTGCACCAAGATTAACGACATTAATTCCATTTCCCACTCTGGTGTATGAAACAGAATGTGTGTACATATATAGGAAGAACAGTGGGCTTCACATTGGAAAATCGTTTTATTTATTTGAGAAACAATCAGACAAAGCTCCCATGCAGATGCCTTCAATAGGATAACTTGAGCCAGGCAAGGCCGAAGCAAAGACCCAGGAACTCAATCCAGGACCTCCATGTGGGTGGCAAGGAGCCAACTACTTGAGCTGGGGATCACTGCCTACCAACACTGTGTTAGCAGGAGGCTGGAGTTAGGAGCTAGAGCTGGGTGTTGAACCCAGACACTCTGCTAGGGGATTTTTTTTTTTAATATTTATTTTTATTTGGAAAGGCAGATTGATAGAGAGGCAGAAAGAAAGATCTTCCATCCACTAGTTCACTCTCCCAAATGGCCGCAACAGCCAGAGTTGAGCCAATGAGAAACCAGGAGCCAGCAGCTTCTCCCATGCAGATGTGGGGTCTTAAGACTTTGGGCTTTTCTCCACTGTTTTCCCAGGCCACAAGCAAGCAACCGGAAAGAAAGTGGAGCAGTAGGGACATGAACTGGCACCCACATGGGATCCCGGCGCTTGCAAGAGGAGGATTAGCCAATTGCACCATTGCACCAGGCCCAGGATGCTGGTGTCCTAACCTCTAGGCTGAACGTCTGCCCTTTTATCTTACTTCAACCACACAAAAAAGGATTGTATTTTAACACTCAGTGTTACACACAAAGAAACATTCCAAGGTCATCATCATCGCTGGAGTCAGAAAACCTGGGTTTAATCAGTCTTACCCATGGCTTACCAGCTATGTGACCTTGAGCTAATCTTGAGTTCCCTTTCTTATTTGTCTAATGTGGCTATGATATCTGGTAGGAGAGTTGTGAAGACGAATGAAACTTGAAAACTACTTAGCACAGAGCTAGATGTTCAAGAGCACTCAGGAAACAGCAGCTGCTATTTCGTTGTTCTTACACTTGGATTTACCCTATTTCGTTCTCCTTTAATCTTTTAAGAGATTATTTCATGTCTTAGCCTTTCCTCATCAGTTTCACTGAGGCTAATAACGTTTCTCCACAGCAAAAAATACAAAAGCCAGTCAGGGCATAAAATGTTGGTTTTCAAACTAGTTCAGGTGGAGGCAACTAGAGATAATGAAATATTGACATTTAATTGTCAATATCTACAATTGTCAATATCTACAATATCTACAATTGTCAATATCTACCATATCTACAATTCTACTAGCACTAAAGCCGGTTATATCATGTTTATATGGATTACTACATTTGAAAAAGATGCATGTTTAAAAACAATTTGCCTTTGTTCTTTTCAAATTTATTTGCAACTTTTTCAAAAGAAAGTGTGAAATAATAATAATTCAGGAAATGGAAAACTTTAAACCTATTTTCCTGGACATTAGAAAGATACTGGAACCATTCAATTTTCACAACAGAGCTCTTTGTTGAATTTTTCCCACAGGAAGCTCTGATGGCTCTGACCTACATGGTCTCTGGGTCTGATAAAGTGAGTCACTGGCTCCCGGCTCCCTGGCCCCATCCTACTTCCAACAGTCCCTATTTCTTTGGGCTGACCTTTCCCAAATCCCATTTTCACTCTGAGCAGTGCCAGAGCCCACTGCAATAGAGCTCATGCTATCTGTTGTGATCACCCAACAAGCTTCTGCTCTGTCAGTTCTTTTCCAAATAGTTCTACCGTCAAGCTTTGCAACTTGCTGCCACAACCTGACCTTGTAGAGGGTGGAGAACACTGGAAGCCTCCTCTTTGCGCACCTCTCCTGCAGTTCCTTTTCTGCTGCTAATATCTGCAATCTTGAAAATGCTGATCTTTTTTTTTTTTTAATCTACAACAGATTCATACTAGTCAAGATTATCATTTGAATTTAGAAGCATGCTTGTGTCATGAAGAGAAATCGAAATATTTGTACATAAAGTAACCCACTCAATCTAGAACCATCAATTTTTCATCTACATTATTAAACACACCCACTCTTGTTCTGACATCATTACACCATCATTTGTATCTGCTCATGTCTTCCCTCTGGTGCCTCCAAATTTCTTAAGTAAACCATCCTCTACCTTTTCCCTTTAACTTTCTCCACTAAATAAAGCCTCCATTGACAGATCACCTACTGGCTGCCAATGCCAACTGCCTTATAAATACTACTTCATTTAACACAACCTCCTATCAGGTAAATATTATCTTAAGTTTTTTAGATTGGTGGTTCTGAGACTTTAAATGAACAGCTCAAAGTCACATTGAATGACAGATAAAGCCACAACATGAACCCAAGCATAAACTGTATCCTTTAGTAGCTACCCTCATGAGAATGCTGTGTAAAATGTAAATAAGGGCCAAAGATGTGGCAAAGTATGCTAAGCACTGCTAACAATGTATGGCGTCCCAGTTCAAGTCCTGGCTGCCATACTTCCAAATCCTGTTTCCTGCTAACATGCCTGAGAAGGCAGTGAAAAATTTCATGAGTAGTTCGGACCCTGCCATCCACCTGGGAGACCCCGAGGAAGCTCCTGGTGCCTGACTTCAGCTTGGCCCAGCCCTAGCAGTTATGAACATTTGGGAAGTGAAGGGAGTGAACCAGTGGGTGAAAGACCTCTCCCTCTGTCTCCCTGTAAATCTTTCAAATAAATAAATAAATTTTTATTTTAAAAATATAAATAGGGACACATAATACATCATTTTTTTAAAAAAAAGTTGATGAGTCTTTCCTCATTGTTTTCTCTCATTTCATATTGATCTGCAATTGATGACTTCTAACACAGTGTCTTCAACATTTCCCCTATAAACTACCACCTGAACCTTTTGTCAATATTTAATAATTTCCAAACTGGCTTGAAAACATTTCTTCATAGATGAGTTACTAGTGGGGCCTTCTAATATAAAGTAAAAATTCATATAGAAAGTGAATAAATTCTCATGTATTTTTCCACTGACATAAATATTGTGCCAACTGTATGTGTATTGAGCATATATAATTGATTTGAGAATTAA